TATTGCGAAGACAATAAACAAGGGCGGTCTGGGTATTCGTTCCCATTACTGTTTTTTGTAGACCTCTGCGCCTCGGCTCGTTACTATATGGCTGAGATGCTTCCGATGTGAGGTAAAACTTTAACTCACTCAGTCTGCGCCTCGGCGTCGTTTCGCGAATAAAAGACAGTTTACGTTATTTAGTAGGCGGACGAAGCACTTCGTGACCGTTACTGAGGAAGAAGTTCGTGCAGATCCCTCACCACAATGAGTCCAAAATGGCGTCCGGTAAACTACATTCACACCTTGCTTTGAATCATTGTGTCGGTGTGTGGAACGTCAAACTATATTTCGGAGTGAGAGAGTGTGGATTTACGCCGCGTTTAGCAATATTCCAGCAATATCACGGCGGGGGACACCAGAAATGGGCTCCACACATTGTACCCATGTCGGGAATCGAACCCGGGTATTCGGCGTGACAAGCGAACGCTTTAACCACTAGGCTACCCGATCGCCCCTATTTCATGACGAAATAACGAAAAAATGACCAGGCAGAACCAAACAAACGAGATGCCTCATTCACTGGCGCTGGCCCTATTAGACACCGAGACGAGTGATCGCTGAAACCAGCTTAGATGCATCATAAACTGGAGTGGTTTCCCTTTGATAAAGGGCAACAACTCCTGCCGGCGTTCCAATTGATTGCCGCAAAGTGGGATCATTGTGTAGGCAATTGTCTTTTTGCCTACATTGGAGTTAGGCAAAACCCTTGACCAGTTCCTTCACCTGGCTCACTCCAAACCCAAGTGGGGTCCATCTGTACATGCTGGCGGGGAATTTCTCTTCAATGTTGTATAAACAAATGCCAATTTACAGGGGAGAAATAATTTGGTTAGTTTGTTTTATAACGGCTAGACCGATCTTGACGAAGCAACCCAATCAGGTCTTGAATTTGGCGTTTTGTAATTGGACATAATAGTATATGGATATAATATTTAACCAAACAGCTTTTCAACCTGAGATGGTTTATCTGTATTCTAATAAATCATTTTCAATGATAACAAAAGAGTAAACCTATAACGGCAAGAAAACACTATGAGAGAAGAAATGCAGACAACTTGGTCATAGCTTAGAAACACAAAGGCCAGATTTTTTACATGTCGGTGGCGAAAGTGAAATATTTCTTTTTTGTATGATGCAATTCTCTCTTTATTATTATTGATTATCTTATGCTATCTTAATCAACTACACATCTTCGGATAAGCGCAATAAAACTATAGTTCCATATATAAACGATAATCTCCGTAGTTTTAACATTTCACTGAATGTTGTGTAATTGATATTACATATATCAAGAAACATGCTATAACCAACATCAAAATGTATGAAAATACAAACAAATCAGTTAAAGTCTGGCATCATGAATATTTGATTCATATACACATACATGATCATGATAGAGTCACGAATGTAAAATGTAGTCTGCTTTTAACAGATAATTTTAATTATTATGAAAAAGGTTTTTCGTTGATATATAATAAGAAATCAACCAGTGAATTATGTCCGGCCAAGAAACGATTTCTACAAATCGCCTCCATATTACAAGGATATTACTACGATTGAGGCGGAAGTAATAAACAAATAAACAACGTTTCTAGAGATATGAGCCAAACATTAAACATATTGTGTTCCTATACAGCTACGTGTATAACAGAAGTATAACAGTCACTCACTCCTGACATACAGGAGTTGCATACCCTTCATATGTCATGAAAACCTATTTTTGTGGATAAAAGCGACAAAATGTTTTCCAAAGCAAATGTTTATGAATCGCTAGCAAATATTGACGACACAAGGTATTCGCAAGAGGATGGACTTTTCCTACCCCACCTGTGGTACAAACGCATGCAAGGGCACGTCAAATGTTTACATGTTAACAGAATCATACGGTACAAGTCAAAATAGGGAATTGCATCAGACAAAATAGTGTCACTGATGGGGATGAACGAATATAATTTTGTCTACATTATCGTGATATACTATTGTACCCGGTGTTAAACCGGTGGGGCAGGACATGGTTGCCCTTTTCCCGTACACCTGGTGACTGATTATTCTGTGGCGTTGACGTGTTATATTACCTTCACCGGGCCATCTCAGTTCTTTTGAACATTAATCAGTGGATCTTCATTGATGTCCATATTGACCTCATGTTTCATATTGACACTGATGCACCACAACCCAAAAAACAGAAGGAGTTGACAAAAAGCGATGCCGGTTACTGAGTATATGAAAGCGTCAGGTCCAATCACTCCAAAAAGCATACCCGACAATGTTGGATGTACTATAATACCAAGAAAATTAGAAAACATAATGGCATTCAGGAATCGAGGCGAATTCGAACCATCTGAATATTTCTGTATCCACGCCAGAAGTCCCGGGGACATCGATCCTGCTCCAAGAGCATACATTATACAGTTTGTCCACATCATGATGATGCTTGTGTCTTTATACAGAAGGAACAGAACAGATGCAACATTAACGAGAACAACATAGGTTATCATTAGGATATCAAGTCGTATCCTAGCTAATAGAAACACAGCGCTGAATCTGCTGAGGAAAATGCCACCAGAGAAGGCTGAAGTCATAACAGACATGTCACCGAGACTCACGTGCAGTTTGCTGCGAATTCCATAGGTTGCAAACAGCTCTGAAAATGTTACAAGACTGGCCGAGCTGAAGAATCCTGTACCCAGGGCCAGAGTTGTGTACATCAGACTAGGGTTTTTATGTACTGTTGGTTTCCTATTCTTTGTTGGGGTTACTTCCATCAGGTCACCTTTTTGCAGGAAGGTATTGTAGATACACATAATGATTATGGCTGGAACAAGACCCAACCCTGATGTTAATATGTAGGGGTATGGTATGTTGGCGTTGAAACCATCACACCTTTGCTCTTGAATTAGTCTGGTTGTATTGCCGAACGCGTCTCCTACAGCAACAAGTCGACGATGTTGTATAAAGTATTTAGCAATAAGGGGAGTAGTGATCATGCTGACTGATGTGCCTGTACTCACGACAAACACTCCATAGAAGCTGTTTGGCCATATGATGTAGCATTGTAATGTGCGCACTGAAATAAAAATACAACAATGATAATAATACCATAATGTAGCATGATAGTAGTGGGAAAGTGATTGGGATTAAATGTCTCTATGTAGACTATTTCAGTAAATTATCGCAATGTGTACACTTAATGTAAGGGGAATGTCTGAAGTGTGCGAGCGAGTATATCGGACCTTCGAAAACTGATTAATCTATATAATCGCAACCAACCTTTATGCAAGAGGAAAGCTGAATTTCAATAACTGCAACATACCCCTGTCATAATGATAATAACTTTCTGCTGGAAGCTATTGAAGCTATTCTATGATTTCGACTGTTTCTGATCATTAGGATTCCTAAACAGTGATAATACCACAGCAAGTGTTCGCGAAAAGGTAATTGTATTCTGCCAGATCGGTGGTACCCGTCACAAGCACATGTATGTAAGGCAGGTCAAGTGTTCACCTAAGCTAATACGGAAAAATATGGTGCTAGTCAAAATAGGGAATTGTATCGGATATCATGTTGGTCACTGCTGTTTCAAATTTCGAAATGTCTTCCACAAATTTGCCATAAAACGTTTTGAAAGATAAAGTACTGCTTTGACCATCTAACCCTGATCAAACAATTAGGGCGAAGAATCCCATAAGGCTCTTTGGAGTCTTCGTACAAAGACCATGATGTGCTGCAACTTAAAAGTTGTGAAGACCCGTAACGATCCGGGGTAGAATAGGTCTTCAGCAACCCATGGTTGCTGTAAAAGGCGACTATGCTTGTCGTAAGAGGCGACAAACTGTATTGGGTGGTCAGGCTCGCTGACTTGGTTGATCCATGTCATCATATCCCAATTGTATGGATTGATGCTCATGATGTCGGTCACTGGTCCAGACTCGATTATTTACAGACTGCCGTCATATAGCTGGAATATTGCTGAGTGCGACGTTAAACAACAAACAAATAAAAGTTATAACCACGAAATGCTGGACCCGTTGGAATATTGCTCGAAATAAATGGAAAGTTGACTATTGGGAAGTTGAAGTCCTCCCTCTTGGCATACAGTCTTTTATATTTATATGAACGAGATTAGGCGGTTTCACTGGACCCTTCTAGTACATGTTGGTAAATCAGTGGAAGGGAATTTCCTATGTGACTATTATATGAGAACATTGATATTCCTGAAGCTTAAGGTACACTACATGGCCAGAGTACTCTATTTTGCCAGTTCGAGCAGACATTCCGGTTCATATGCTTAAAGAAACAGACCAGCAAGGAGAGGATCACAGTTGGTGGTCATGGGATCACTACTTCTTGCCGACATGTTCCATCCTAAAATTTCAGATAGATGTTATCTGAGAGGACGTCCAGCGTTTCACATATTGTTTTCAATTTCAAATTAAATTTGTTTTAATTTTTGACAAATTTGCCTAAATCTTTGAAGATAGAATTGTAAGTGTATCTATAACGCAGATCGAAAATGTTTATCACCTTGCTGCTGAATCACACAGTCGCGGGTATGATGCTGACAAACCAATGATCATGATCAGTACGAATCTGGGACTAGAGTCTACGAGCAGCGGATCATTGCATGTCTTAAGCCATAATGTATCATTTTGATCATAGGAGGAATTCTACAGATATGGATTGAAAACAGTTATGTTCAAATATGCACGCGTAGACATACGTTATTTTCGGACACTGAAGTATGTTTCTAGTCGGGCAGGGGTGTTTTCAACCAATGTTGTCCCTAGGAATGAAGGGAAGATAACTTACCAAATGTCATTATCCCTGTACACGAACCAGCTATTAGTACCAAGGTGAAGGTCAGCCACAAGAACGGAGACATTGGTATTGCAGCAATAATAACGGAGTTTAGAACCAACGTGGCTGCCATAAACAGACACGTGTCCACCTTGTCTCTGATGAAGTGTCCCGTGACGCTACTGCAACACATGCCTAAACCATAGGCAAACAGCAGGGAACTGGCTACTTTCAGGTCGATGCCCAGCAAACACTGGATGTCAGGGAGGGAGAGGCCGATCAAAGTGCCTGTACAACCCTACAAGGTTAAATCAGGTTAAAGCATCTGAAGTAGACAATAAACTTTGAATAAATATGCATTTATCGTTTGGTATTGACTCTTGTTGGTTTTCCATATAGGTCGATGTCACAGTGAGGGAAAATTATATGACAAATATTTTTAATACATGTCAGTGTTCAGTATTGTGATATGTGCTAGTGGTGTTATCCGGAGCACGGTGTTATGTTAGGGACAGATTATTTGGGTGTTCATGGGGATGGGGTTGGGGGTATTTTGTCGAAAACAGTAAATTATCCCAGAAAATGCTGTTGAACAAAAGAAATTGTAAGCCGTACAAATACATTGTTGCAAGCTGTTTTATCGAAAACAATATGCATGGGTTCATAGTTTGTTAATGAACAAATATCGTTTTTTGCAGGTGCAGGTGAAAAAAGTAGCTAGCAAATCTCAATACAAAATACAATTTGTCGTAAGAGGCGACTAAAGGGATCGGGTTGTCAGGCTCGCTGACTTGGTTGATGCATGTCATCATTACGAAATTCGTGGATCGATGCTCATGATGTCAATCACTGGATTGTCTGGTCTAGACTCGATTATTTACAGACCGCCGTCACATAGCTGGAATATTGCTGAGTGCGGCGTTAAACAACAAACCAAACCAAATCATAAATAAATTATGAACTCAGTTTGAAAAATTCATGTTTGTATCAATGTGTGCTCCTATACTGTTCACTCAAATGAATGAATGAATAAATGAATGAATGATAATTAAAACATGTGTGTTTTAATGCACAAACACTTTGAACGACTGACATGCGTTACATCTGTGCATTAGTCCAGAATTTGAGAGATCGATCAAGCGTTTCAGAGAACCAGTCAATGTTTCAGTCCAATCGATTCTATTAATGAAACTATTTACATGTGCCCTGCATACATGACAAGAATGGTTCAATTATTTTGTATTGAGTTGGTAAGATATTGGTTACAAATATCTGCGATCTTTGACTGGGCCACTGCATTACCGTAACGTAGGCTGTGCATGACAGTAACGCCGTGTAGAGTATGCGATTTATTTTGGAGATCGTCTCGTCCCTGCAGAAAATCAAAATATTCATGTTAACAAAACTGCCTAACCCCTTACTATAATCATAAGATATCTTTGCTACAAACAAAGTCGATCCACCATAAGCATGTATTTAATAATCACAATGAAACAGTGATGATACTAGATGTTCGCGAACAAAGTGTTTTTCGTAGGGGATAGTGGTGTACATAGTTAAAAAGCAAAGAACTCCTGGTGTCATCACTACTTGATTGTGATTCTTGAACACATGCTCATGAAAAAGTCGGAATTATACAATGAACTCTGCGTTTAGCAGATATTTCTTATGATTATGGAAATGGTTTTGCGTCGTTCATTTATTGACAGAATTGAATTTCTAAATGCCTATCAAAGAAGAATTGAATTTGGTTATATTCTGAGATTGTAAAAATTCAAGCTCATCCTTTGAGTTTTTAAAAATGTCCACATGGTATTAATCCCTACAGTTTCAAAAACAGACAGTCCTTAGTGCATTATATCAAGGATTAATAGGGTTAATATGGTTGTAATGTATATACGGATCTTATGGAGCTTTGGAGTGAGTGAGTGAATTGGGTTTAACGCCGCTTTTAACATTATTCCAGTTATATCACGGCGTGTCAGCTTAATGTGGGAGGAAAGCCCGAAGTGATGCAGGTCTCAGATGTTTACAACTTCGGTGAAACCCAAGAGCACGGGTATGGTGCTGACAGACCTAGAAACATAATCGGGGCGAACCGGGATTCGAACCCACAATCATAGGTTTCTGGCGTGCCCAAGGGACGCAACTCTGCACAGCGAATCGCGGCGCCGTAGACGACAGGACCACCCGTGCCCCCATGGAGCTTTGGAATGGACTTGTCTTCAGGTATAACGCTGGCCTAATACGTCACTTATGTCAAGCTATTCACCAAATACTTAATGTAGTAATGCTTAATAAAATGTTTATGTAATTTGATGCCTTGTCAGTGGGAGTACAACAACCTATATGTAGGACAGAGCTGAGAAGGCGAATACTGTTCTAAAATATATCCATTATAGCATTAACGGAAGAATAAATCTTACCTGAAAGCTAAACGATGCAGAAGCGAAAAACAGTTCTATTATTATGATAGTAAACACCCTGATCGAAAACTCACCTTGATTTCATTTTTTAGAGTTGACGGCTGGAAGTTGGTTTTCATCTGGAGACTTAGACCTTATAGAATTACTGAAATGACACAAATGAAACTGCATGAATGATTTCATCATTTGCGATCCAAAGAAGTACCGTTTCCATATGGAAACAAACTGCAAGATTTGTGACTTACCAACAGGTATCGTAGCACAGCAACAGGTAAACGACATGCAGAACGTACCTTGAAGAAGCACAATGTGTGAAACCCACCCGGGAAGGTGTTTTTAGACAAAAATTACAAAGTATGTGTGTTATCCTATTTTCTGCGATTCTGGCTGGCTGACGCCATCAAAATGGAATGTTATTTTTCGAAGAATGCAGAAAACTTGCGGTTCGGAGGTAACCTTGCATCAGTTCGCCAACTTGCAAACTTTCAAACAATGCCTAAAAATAGTATCGAGAACTCCCATGTTTTGGACTACCAAAGAATTTCGAGAGCCCTAGTTGTAAACTATCAATAAATCAATAAAAATGTTCAAATGAGAATATCTTGCTGCTGTAAGAGCACATTGCACCTTATAGTATATGATTTCTTTGCGTTTATAATATCCTCTGAACTTTATTCCAGAATTTGAAATATCGATCAATTTGAATAATTCATGTTTGTATCAATGTGTGCTCCTATACTGTTCACTCAAATGAATGAATGAATAAATGAATGAATGATAATTACAATTATCTGCGATCTTAGACTGGGCCACTGCATTACCGTAACGTAGGCTGTGCATAACAGTAACGCCGTGTAGATTATGCGATTAATCAATAAATCAATAAAATTGTTCAAAGGAGAATATCTTGCTGCTGTAAGAACACATTGCACCTTATAGTATATGATTTCATTGCGTTTATAATATCCTCTGAACAGACGTCTTTTTCTTTGTCGCTCGACCAAACCTCAACCAGCTCGTGTAAATCTGATACAAAAACGTGAATGCATGATCTATGAAACACACGTACATGTACAAGAAAAGACAAGATTCTTTGGAATGGCAGATGGCGTTTGGAGGTTACGGGCATAGGATACATCTTTGTTTCTTGCTGAACACGCTCGTTTACCTTTGATTCGGTTTACCTTGCATAACGGTTCATTCCAATTACATTCACCTTTGATGCACAATTTGCATCTGTTAAAGCAAACGCCCCAAAAGTACCAAAGACTAATTTAACACTTCTGTTTTTAATGCAGACATTGGTTTTCTATATCTACAAATAAAATTGAAAACTCACATCCTGTTCCAGCTTCGTCGGGCTTCGTCTGTCAGATATCAGGCCTCGATGATGTTTTCATTTGTTTAGAAACTGTTATAATATCCATTAGGACTCCTAATGTAATTTCAATACAGTTCCAGTCATCATTCCAAGATTATTAATTATCCTTTGCCGCGTGAATATTGAATCTTGTCTGATTTCTTTATAGGCCCTGGCCGCGTCATACCAAAAGACGTTGAAAGGTGGTACTTGTTGTCACCCTGGCGCTCGGCATTAAGGGGCTAAAACAAGGACTGGTCGGCTCGGAGTCAGTATTCTGTGTCTGAGTGGGGTATTCGTGTTAAACTGCGGCATGGTATCTCAGTGGGCTAGCACTATAAATCGGCATCAGTTCGGAACAGCACACACACACACACACACACACGCACGCACGCACACACACACACACACACACACGCACACGCACACACACAAACACACCACACCCTCACACACACACACACACACACACACACACACACACACACACACACACACACACAAACACACACGCACACACACACCCATCACTATAAGCGTGCAATAATCTTGGACGCGACGTTCAACCCCATTTCACCTCACCTTAAAGTTATACAAATTAAAATGGTGAAAAAGGTACCACAGGAATGCTTTGATTTTGCCCTTAGACAAATATTTATTTAAAAAAAATCTATTTCATACTAAGGATGCGAAATAATGTAATACTACTGTATCACTGATTGAAGTATTTGATAATTTAGATAATGCAGATTGAATAAAACATAAATAGTCTATATAAAACATCAAAACGATATCACATTTACACTGAAAACATTTTGTCTTTCAGAAATCGATTATCCTTATATTGTGAGTATATCTGATTACTTTTACTGTTGATGTTATAAACTGAACCATTCGAGAGTCTAATAGATGAAGCTAAAATATTAAAAATCTAGGTTGTTTAAATTGGGTCTATTTTAACAGCTTTCTCACTGTAAAGCATTCAATGCCCTTACTCAACTAAATGCACATTGTTTTCTTGGAATATCAAGCCTTCAAACATATATGAAAAGCACATGTTAAAATACCAAAATTATTAAACTGCGCCAAATATTCTAACAGTGTTAGTCAAGTGTTAATTTTAAGCGGTACTCGTCGGTCGACGTGGAAATTTTGCAGTCGTGATGTACTAGATATACTTTCTAGTTCAGTCAAAGAGAATATTGTTATTTGGAAAAAGAAACTACGTGTATCCATTATACTACCACAACATTAGATCAGCTGTTTCCTGTGACGTCATCCACGTCACAACACGCGCGCGAGGTCAAATCACGCGCACCTATCCAGACGACAAATTCACAGCGGCGGGAAGTCACCGACCGTCTATTAGCCTATTCGAATAGAATTGCAGATTGTAACGAATAAAAAAGCTTAGTACTAATTGCTGACATTTCAAATGACATATCAAATAAGAGCTGAAGACTTGCAACAGATTATCATTCGTTAATCGAGAGTACAGTGTAGATCACATCAATATATTTTTTAATCTAATATTAATTAGATGTAATATCCATGGCAGAATGCTGGAAATACGAGCTGTAGTGTTATGATAATATATTCGGAATCCATTTTCTGAGGAGATTAGTAATGTGTATTTGATGATATACTCACACGCAAAACAAACGCAAGTGGTTTTAAGCAAATAGGTAACAAACACGGAACCATAAATTGATACAAGTTTTAGCACGTCGTCCTGTTCTCCAACCACGGCATTGACAAGCACGACTTCAGTTGGCACAGGGTCATCACAATTGGCGTCATCGTGAGTGGAGGTGTGTCATCTTTTCTGATGAAAGTCGCTTTTGTGTCTCCCATGCAGACGGAGTCAGAATTTGGCGGCGTCGAGATGATCGTTTCGCTGACAGAAACGTTGTGGAAAGGGATCCATGGGGTTGACCTAGCGTCATGATATGGGCAGGGATTGGACTTAATGCGAGACTTGGACCCATGTGCTTTCTGAATGTTGGTCAAGGTCGGGGACTCGGCGTCACTGCTCAGCGGTATATCGACCAAGTGATCAGACCCCACGTTGTTCCATTTTTTGCACAACATCAACAACACTTTTTCCAGCAGGACAACGCTCGTCCCCATGTTGCCAGAGCTACAATGGCCTTTCTGCAACAACACAACATCCGTGTTCTACCGTGGCCAGCCCTCAGCCCTGATGTGAACCCAATCGAACACTTGTGGGTTGAGGTTCAAAGGCGTCTGCACAATGTGCGCCCAGTCCCTACAACTGCCGATGAACTACGCACAGCTGCTCTGGATGTGTGCAGGAGCATCCCTAGGGCCTTCACAAATCGTCTGATCCACTCAATGTTCAGTAGATGTGTGGCAGTGATCAATGCTAATGGTGGTCACACCAGGTATTGACTGACATTTTGGGTATTGACCCGAAACTGTGTAAGCCCTTAACATATGAAAAAAAAACAATTATGTCATCTGCCTTTTAATCCATTAAACTGTCTTCAGTCAAATTCTTTTCAATCTTGCCCTATTAGTATTTCTTGTCTTTACTGTTGAAAATAAATAACATGTATACTGCATACTCGAATTGCGTTTCTTTTGCGTGTGAGTATATATATGCATACACAAGTGGTTCTCAATTATCTTGTACAATCACATCATGTAACATGTACATTAGACTCACGGCAAAATCAGCAAACCAATCATAGCGTCATTGTCGTAGTTTCAATGAAAGGAAAAACAAATCCAAATCGAACATAACAGCACATCGTAACCATAAGCGGTGAACCAAAATGCAAAAGGGTATTGCTGTCATAACTGTACAAGTTATGTTAATGTTTTCAGTAGTTGTATTATGTTTGTATCGCGTGTATCATCGACAGAAACGGGGGCCGATCTACCACATGTGAAACCGACCTTGACACAATTTATTTACAATATGGCGTCGTCACACCTTAGATGTCGTGGCCACACTTTTGAAATCTCCTTTTGCGACAAAATGTGAAGCAGTTAGGGCAAGTCATTCTCACGGTGAGGTAGTTTCAGCAATCACATATGACTTTAGTCATTTCATATGAACAAAGTAGCAGTTATTTGTCTAAGCGGGCGAGTATGTAGGGCATCCGGTAGACAAGAAATCGCGGAACAGACATGCGAACGTGCCCTTTCGATCACTTCGGGCTTGACCATTCAATGTTTAGGTTTTGATCATGAACTTCCTGCCCATAAATATGCACTATACCACCTTAATATTAACGATCATAGCTATCTTTCCATATCTTTGATTTTAATATTTTCTGTAAATCAGCATCATAAACAGAAAGGCAATCTGCACTGTCGTTTCGCCTCTAGCGCCGCGCTAAATAGCCATGACACACCGTCGAAAAACTTCCGTTGCGGACTAAACGTTAGTACTCTTACTACAACAACTGTATAGTGGGGAAAAGTAAATCTTTCTGATCAGTCTGATCAGATTTCTTTTTCAAACTGGCTGTCTGATATTATAATATTTACGTGTATGTGACTTGGATGCATATTATAAAAATCGCCGTCATTCGCATGGAGTTCAACATGGCAGAAAAAAGGTCGAGAAGTGCGGTAACCACTTTATTAATCTCACCATATTTCGCAATCTGTAGTACTGTCTAAAATATGACTTACACGATGTTAAAGCTGAGATGATTAGGATGATGATGGTTATAATTTTGATTTTGTGCACTCAGTGTTTGACGTCTTTATTCACAGTTGAAAAGGGACAATTGGTCCCGTGTCACTATGAGGGT